TAGTCTTCTACAGAAGTCAACATCACCAACCCAAGGCACTGAAAAGTCAAACAGCAGTCCTCTAAATCATGAGATTTCAAAGGTAGAGTCCTTTTAATTTGCCTTCTGACCAATAAGAAATCATGTTCTAGAGAGTTTCACCTGTAGCTACAAGGGCTGGTGGGAACTTACCTTCATTAACATAAAGCCTGAGATTCACTGTATCATCTGACTCCAGGAATTGGGGTAAGATCATTAAAAGTATGACCTGTGCGAATGTCCTGTAGAGTGGAATGGATGAAGCAACATTAGGATACAATGAATAAGGCTTTGGAGTGGTAACTGGAACCCTACAAGACTGAAAAGGGAATTATTGTTTTTCATAGGGCATTTTGTACCAACCAAAGCAATTTTATTGTTGGGGTAATCCCCCCATTCATTTAGCATTTCCTACTGAACTGTAAAGGAGGGAAGAATTTCAAACTCTATTGCAAGCCATTGGTATAGAGTAAAGTGAAATTATTTGGCTGAAAATAATTTGGGTGAATAAACATAGATTTGGTGAGAACCAGACTTCCCACAAGTGACAGATTGTGTGTAAAAAAAAAACACAAAACAAAAAAACCCCACAAAACAAAAACAAACAACCAAAAAACCAAACAAAGCAAAGCATTATGAAAAGGTTAAGAGATTTGATTGTTACAATATAAAAAGACTTTCCCTAGCATCATTTTTTTTAGTTTTATTTGACACTTGCTCAGACTTAAAATTTTATTCAGCCTGAAATGAAGGATTTTGACTTTCCATTTGCCAGCAATTTCAAAATGGTTTTGCTTTGGACAGACCCCAAATTCATTATTGTTTAGTTTTTTGGGTTTTTTTGGAACTGCCAGTGATCCATAAAATCAATTATTTGCATGGGCGTTCACTGAAAATCTTCTGAGATCTGCCTGGGCAGTGATTGTATGGTATTGGCTGCTGCCTCTTATTTCCAGCTGAGAAAGAGATAACCAGAGCAAGTGGGGATAAAAACGAACAATAGAAACATAGCTGGCAACGGGCTTTCTTCAAGAAGAGCAAAATACCACAGGCAAGACAGAGAGAGCTGAGCTCCTAATATTGCTCTATCACGTAAAGAATTGCTGTGGCAGCCTCAGGCTTGTCATAAAAGCACATACAGGTAGAAAGTCTCTTCTAATTGGCAACCTACTATAGGATATTTCCACAAGTGCACTTACAGTCACCCTCCAGCCCACTTTTTATGAGTGGTTGAACAATAGACCAGTAGTTATCAGCCTTTTCCATACTGGGTTCCCCTCTTCCATACCAGACCCTATGCAGCTGATATCCAATTGGGAATATGGGGTGACTATGTTGAGAACTGCTGAAATAATTAAAGCTCAGTAGTACCTGGTTGATACCTCCTCCTCCCTTCTGAAATCAGTCAATGCACTAAACACTAATCCTCTCCCTCCTGCTATCAGACCTGCACTGACACACTGTGGAGAATAATTTGTGACCCAAGACCTTGATAGTAGATGTCTGTTTTAAGTGGGTTGTTTATCTAAGGATTTGCTCTTTACAAAAAAGTCCTTATTCCATCAAGAGAGATCTTCCAGCTGAACAAACAAACCATGAATGAACATCAATTACTCTGCCTTCCAAATTGCTGAATATTTCATTTCACACCTTTCTTAGAGCATTATTAACGTGTAAATCAGGAGTTCTCTTCCCACAGGTCATTGGTACAAAGCCTAAATGGATTGTGTGATAGTCTCAGCCCTTGGATTTGCAGCACATTAGAGAAATACAGTGAGAATCAGTAATACAGATAAGAGTAGAGATCAGAAGATAGAGAGAGACCAGCCACATTCACACTTCAGCCAGCCCCATTCAGTGCACTGATCAATCTCACAAGAGTACAGATCCCTCCAGTGTGCTTGGCACGGTCAGAGACACAGACTTTACCTACCCCCACAGCTTACTAGAGGGCTGAAGGGTAAAAAAGAACATTCAGATTTGTCCACCTTAACATACATTTGTCTTTAAACTTTGAGCCAATCAACTGATAATGTAAAGGCCTCTCTCTTCATTTTCCCCTTGAGCCATTGTTATCTAGCTGGGTTTCTTACTGGTATCAGAACAGAGAAGTGATTTACTGAGGATCTACCATGACCTCACAGATCACTGCAGAGAGGTGTTATAGTGCTTCAGTGACAGTGTGGCATTAGGTGCACAGGCATTTTATGAGAATTAGACTGGACAGGGCTGGTAGTATGAGGGCACTAGATGAGTGGGGATGCTGAAGTTGGGTGGGGGCACCTTTGTGTGTGCCTCAGTTTCTCTACTTGCTGCAACCTGCTTTGTCTATTTTAAATCTGAGCACCTTGGAACAAGGACTGTTTGTCGTTATGTCTGTGTACTGTGGCAAGTACTAAAGACCCTGATGTCAGAACCTATTGGAATAAATAATATGATCACTTTAAGACTGTTAAGACAGGGAGTGTATTGTAAGTCTTTGTGGGTTAGGAAGTTCAAAGGGTTAATTCCCAGAAAGGTCAGTATCTCTGCCACACTACAGATAAGAGCAGAAGCAGAGGTTAAATTATAAAATAATGATGATGATATCCAGCACTTTGCACCTGTAGATCTATCTCTGGCAAACTCATTTTAACCCATTGTCCATTGAGGTCAGATTAATTGGCTTTCAATTGCCTGCATTAACCTTTTCCCCCTTTTCAGGGGGGTGAGGAAGACATTGCATTTGTTTTCTCATCATAGAGAACCAAGCATGATTTGGCAAATCTGTTGAAAATCCTTGCTCCTGGATTTGCAGCATAATGTGCCAGTTCTTTCAGAAACTGCTGATAGAAATGATCTGGTTGCCCTGGCCTGAATGCATTCAGCTCTTTGAGTTTTGTTTCCACCTCAGCTGGGGCAATTTCAACCATTATCCCCTCATTTCCATTATTTACCTCCCTGTTGTCCTCATGGAAAAATGAGGCAAAATATCCATTTTGGGTGTCATTCTACTTCCCTTTGGTCATCACAGTGGCAATGTTTTAGTTATCTAAGTAGTATATTTTGGCACTTCCTTGCAGATAGGGTATCCTCCTGCTTTTAGCAGGCAGTTGGACTACATGACCTTCAGAAGTCCCTTCCAAACCTAATTTTCTATGATTTTTATAGTGATCCTGTTTCCTGGCAATGTATTAAGTGGGCATGCACAGCAGGTTACATACTAGCCATGCATGTAGACAGCTACATGTGTGTGCCCCTGGTGGACACATACTCAGGTCTGAGGCTCAGAGATGCAGATGGCATGAAGTTATAGCTAGTAGGTGATAGATGGACATGAAGATGGGTCCCTATCCCCTCCATACAGCAATTTTAGCCACGTTAGCTGAAAAGGTTAAGGCATTAACCTGGGAAATCAGCATCCCTGTATCAGATATGGTTTGAACCTGCATTTCTTTGACTTTCACACACACACCACAGCACAGGTCAGGCATTCTCTGGGCGCTTCCTTAGCACTCCTTTAAAAACTGGCTCTCTGGGCAGCCAAGAGTGGGAGCTATGTGGAGGCATGAGAAAGAGCACGTTATAGCATGTTTAGCTCAATGAGATGGCTGCTGGGGGAGGGGGAAGGCTGGATTCTAGCATGGAGTCTTGCTTACAGAGAGGCAGAAATCTTCTAATACACTGTCTTTAATCCATTTTATTCAATGACTATTAAATGCAAGGGGCAGTGATTCAACTTCAAAAGGAGGGCTGAAGAGGGTTCTGTATCATACCCAATTTTTGGCCTGGTGGTTTGAGCATGATGCTAGGAAGTGAGAGAAATGCCTGTAGTCATTACACACTCAGGAAACAGAATCCCTACCTGTGTATGAGTGCCAAAAATGCCACTTACAACAACTGTAAATCAACCAGTTAGATGAGCAAAGGGGACTAGGCTGCCAGTTGTTAGCTTTTGCTCCATGCCTAGTCTGTAATCTCTGTTGCATCCTCACTGCATAACAGCTCCACTTGGTTTTACTTTGTTCTTTTATTTACATGACTGGAGACACTCTTCCTATTTGTTTTAATATCCTCAGCTTGCTTTTGGCAGTTCTTACTCTACCCCTTCATTTCTTGACCTCTAAGATGTAGCCTTTGCGGACAATAATTTTTTTTCGTTCATTTTAAATTTGCTGCCTATTCCTTTATGAGGTGGTTCTTCATCCTGAGGTGTGGAGCACTTTCCTTCAAGTTTCCCCATCTCTCTTGGAGTACAGGTTCCTTATATTTTTAGCACCTTTGACTTAAACAATTTCCTCCATGTTCACATCCCCGAACTCCTCAGTCCAGTTGTCTTCCCTCACCAGTTCCCTTAGTTTATCAAAATTTTCCAGTTTCAAATCAGAACCACTAGTCACCGACCTACTTTTATTTATCCTTCCTTTTAATTTGATGCTGTGCTTGTGCTCAGAGATTGCTGCAGTGACAAAGATCCCAAAGGAACAAAGCAGGCTGATGATAAGAGCTTCTGGTGGCATGCCTGTTCAGCTGCTAGTAGTACCCCAACCTCGCTTGTAGAGGTGTCTCTTCAGCCACAGTATCGGAGACAGCGACAAGCACTTCTGCAGCAGTAGCCTGGGAGATGTCACTTTGGGTCTGCTCCCTTCATTGGCAGATGCCATCTCCCAGCACTCTCAGCACCTCTAACCTCTCCTCCTAAGCCAGTGCCTCTGGCTGGTTGATCTTGGTGCTTTTGACTGCTGTCCCTGAGGTCTGTCAGTATCTTCCAGGTAATTCAGTGCTGAGAGATGAACACAATATGAAATGCCAAAGCCACAGAGATCAGGCTCCATGATCTGATGCCTTTAGATACGTAGCCCAGTTTTGTAGGGTCAGCCTCCTACATAGCTATACCCCACGACAAACTCGTGTCTAATATGTTTTGCAATCTTGCCCTGACATTCTCTTTCAGCATCACTGCTCTCCTCTGTGCAGTGCCTTTCTCCCTAGACCTGAAGCTAGCATGTATTTTATCTTTC